TTCGCGAATCATGCCGTTTAGGCGTATAACCCGAAACCTTCCAGCTTCACCGAATTACTATTTTTATCGATGGCAGTTTGTATTTGATCTTTATAAAGTTGAAGTCTAAGGTTAACCACAAGCACGCCATGTTGTGTTCTTTTTGCACCACTATTTGTGGCTGCGGGATATCATACCTAAAAGCTCTGAGTCTTTCGTTTCTTCCATATCGGTTTAACTTCCCGAAGCTGCGGTTAGGACCTCTTTCCGTAGCCCTCACTATCCCTTCCACGCGTTCCTCAGATACCCCACCCGGAAGAAATGATTCAGCCCAATACCCCCTGCCAAAAAGTCATGCAAGCCTCGCACCGCTGAACGACGAACGCAGCGCAGCGTGTGACAAATCGACGCACTCTCCCCTCCGCTGGCGCCACTTCTGAGGGGCGCCCGGGGAGACGATCAGTGAAAGTCCCGACATCCCGACCAGCACAAAAAGCGCCGATGCGGCATGCAACCGAGCAAATAAACAACCGACCAGAGATCGGCGGCTGGCGATGCCCCGCGGCGCGCGCCGTTTTTGCCGCGGCGGCGAGGAGTGGCGCGGCGAGCGGACGGCGCCGGTGGCTTTGTCTGCGGTTTTTGCGGTCGGGCTTTTACCGCCGGGCGGCGTTGAACAACTTTTCCGGATGTGTCCGGGCGCAGCGGTCGGGTTCTTACTACTTTTTCGAGGGTACGGTATCGGCCGATGGTCCAGGGGCCGTCGGTGGAGCAAGTGAGTTCTGTGACCAACGCAGCGCACTTGCGCCGGGCAGGCGGACAGCAAAGTATGCGGAAGAGGCACTCAAATATGAACGAGGGCTCATGGCGTCGTCAGTGGCATCTAAAATCATCCGACAGTGTCGTGTACCCGAACCTCGGTTTAACTGCAGCTGCGGCGGCCAAATCGATGGGGTAATTGGGGCCAACTACGCGATTTCCGGAACCTGTTGCTAGGAGCGCTTGACTTATGACTAAACGTTTCAACTTCGAAATGGCTCACTCCATGTGTTCATCAAATATTGAACCACTCTGGATGGGTTTTCGCCAAGTGCTTCGTTTGAGTCAAGCATCGCCATTTCCCCGTCAACTGGGACGTCCGACAATATTGACCATTCCGCGGACGGATGGCGGCCTTTCTGGGTCGAAAGTACCGGCCGGTCCCAACTGCACGTGTCATCCGGAAATGGCGCTCGGCCCCAGGGCAAACATAATTGTTGTGCCGGTGTTGACCCAGCCTGAGTGTGGTGGAGGGGGGGGGGGGGGCAGGGACGCACCTCGTGTCCGCTAGCCAGGGGCCCGTGCTGACATGGGCTCAGTCTGAGTGGGGGTGCGGGTAGGGGTGGAGGGGTTGGGGAAGAGGTACGCGCCTTTTCCTTCAGCCAGGGACCTGCGTTGACATCGGCCCAACCTGAGGGGAGGGGGGGGGGGGGGGGACGCGCCGCGAGTCTGCCAGCCAGGGGCCCGCGCTCACATCGGAGGGGCCCTGCATGGAGATCGGTTACGGACGATAGATGGGCTGATTGACCTTTCAGCGAGCGGGTCATTGTGACTGAGGCACGTTACTCTGTCTGTGACGCAGTGGCGTGTGCGCTGATCGGTTCCGCATGGCTCGCCCTCGGTCATGGCGGGATAATGAATGCTCCATTGTTGCCGCCCGTGGAGCTAAGGAGATAGCGTTTTCCCACTAGATATCAGCTGAAGACGGATTGCATGTGTCTCTGGTGACGTCATTTCACTCTGGACAAGCGGACCGGTTGCCTCACCACTTCCGTCGTGGTCGGCCTAATCTGCCGATCGCTGTAATTTTCTCATCACGCTCACATTACAAAAATGAATTGCTAAAGCTGGTGATTCACGCCAGCCGGATGAAGGACTTCTGGCCACTTTCCCGCAAGCGCACAATTCCCAGGATCTGGTGACCGTTTCAGTTGCATACTTTCGTGAGTGCATCGGAACAAGAGTTAGGCATTTTCTTGAAAGGCATCAGTCATACCCCTTCGCAGGAACTCAACCAGGCGCCCATTGATGCTTGCTGAGTCCAGTTTACTTCCATGTTTCGATGCATTCTGGAATGGTGCCGGTGTGCGTCTTTGCCTGGCCGACACGGGGTGACGCCATCTATTCCATGCAGTCACCATGTTAGTGCTCAAGCGAAAATAGCTGGCCTAGCGAAAAACCGTGCGGATTTAATTCGGAAATGTGTGCATTCGGACACTTTGACAGCATGAATGACAACAGTGAACAAAAAGCCACAAAAGACGCAACGAAAACGCGGAAATGTCGCCAAGGTCTGGGTCATACCCGTCCATCGTACTACATCTACTACATCGTAGTGGAAAAACTGCTCATTTCAAAGAAATGTGGTGTGCGCGTGACGTCACCACGCCTGTGCAGAGCAGATCGTCAAAACGTGAATCTGTAAGGTTCTGACTTGTGACGGGTACCTGCGATTCCGCGCACAATCTCATTTCATATACTTTTTAAGCTGGGTGCTAGTGAGCCCGCAATAGCAGCCTCACCAGCCGCGTTTCAGGACGTTCCGTGTGAAGCTTCCTCCGAGTGCCACCGCGTTCCCGGAGCAGCGTAACGATACTGCGGCGCCGCAGCCTCCCGTCTGCCGACCAAGGCAAGGTGCTCAGGGGCGTCGGCTGCACGTGCTGAGGATGCCGCGCCGGGCGTCCCCGCCTGATTCATGTGCATTCACGCGGCGAAGTGCCTGCCGTTCGGGCGGCGCCCAATTAGGGCGAAGCGGCGCCTCCGTCGGTCGGCGCCGGCCGTCGAGCCGCGCCGACGTCAGCGAACGGCCGCCGACCGCCAGCCCGTCGGCGGCGCGGCCTCTCGGAGCCGCCTGGGCGGCCGGGGAGGCTCGGAGGGTCGGAGGGTCGGACCCTGGCCGCGATGACCCGGTTCGGTTCCGGCCGCCTGACCCGGCCGTCTCTCCGCCAGTCTTTCCCGATGGGAGGCCTCGGCGCCGTTATGGGGTCTAATGGGCCGACTGTGCGGGGATCAGGAGCGTCGCCGTCGTGGGGTGGAATATCAAACAGACGGTTCAGGTGCCGACTGGCCGAGCCGCGCCGAGCCAGATCCGTCTTATCTCGAGATCGAAACTTCATTTGTCATCGTCCGCCTGGTCTTTTGTCTACGATCGCTCTGTAACAATACGTCAAACTGTGGAGGTACTGTGGAGTCAATAATTTATTACAGATCAGGCGATGTGACTAGAATAACAAAATAAGCGATCTCCTCTCATATATACACATACGCACTCCCTCTTTAACAGGTGGGAAATCACTGGAACGATAATCTCATTGGTCGGCAGTCAACACATGCTCGCACATCACTAGCCCTGGGGGCACCTCCAGTAATTCGCACATCGACGCCCGATGGCAACACACTCCGAACAGGTGAAGTGCGCGGCGCGCTCACCCGGCTGGCGCCTCCGAAAGGGATGATGAGCGCCGGGTCACGAGGCTAGCGACCTTTGCGCCGGCCGCCCGGGCCGCATACCGATGAGAGAATGCCCTAAAACGGCGCCGGCCGGCCACGGCCCGGTGCGTTTGGTCGCGGGGTGCCGGGGCTCGCAGACTCCGCCAGCTGCACAGACGGCCGCGTGGCGCCGGCGCTACACCCAGAGCGAGTGGGAGAGCGAGCGCTGGTGGTGGTGCTGGTGGCCCGGATGGTCCGGGTCCGACGGCATCTGCGGCTGCACCTCCGGCTCCAGCGTGCAGTAGATGTCGGCGTCGGTGGCCGGCCGGCCAGCCGTCTGGTACTGCTCGATGGTCATGTACGTGTGCTCGCTCGGCTGGATGCTGCTGTAGCTGTTATTGTGCGGCGCCTGGGCGCTGTAGACGAGCGCGTGGCTCGAGTCGGAGCGGCCGTGCGCCGGCCCGTCCGACCGGTCGTCCGACACCACCGTCGAACACGTCGGCGACGGCGAGTCGCTCGGCAGCACGGCCCGCAGCGCCGCCGCGTCGCGAGCCGCGCATGCTGGCTGCCCGAACCCGTACAGCGCTTTCAGGCCGCGGCCGCTGGGCAGCAGGGCGCGCAGCCGGCGCCAGAAGTCGGGCTCGCCGTAGCGCACGCAGTCGGCGCCGCGCAGCAGCGCGCGCAGGTCCGATTCCAGCTCGGCCCGCTCCACGCCGTGCATCACAGCCACCACGCCGCGCGCGCGCCGCAGCGCTTCCAGGTGCGACGACTTGAAGTCGAACCGGCACCACTCGTTGTCGAGGAAGTTCCTGGAGAGCACGAGCAGCGTTCGCCGCGACGCCTGCACGCAGTGGTGCACGGCGTCGCCCAGGTAGCTGGTGCTAGGCGCGTCGCGCCGCAGCAGGCACAGCCGGTACGCCGGCGTCGCGTGCTCCAGCTCCGGCGCCAGCACCTCGTTCACGAAGCGTGTGTCCTGCGCGCTGTACGTCACGAACACGTCAAACTGCGTCTCTGCCTCGCGCGCCACCGTCACCGCCGCAGCACCCGCCAGCGACGATTTGGCGGCGGCCGGCGCCGCGCCGCCGCACAGACGCGCGCGGAAGCGGAACACGAGCGCGGCCGCCGCGGCCGCCACCACCAGCGCCACCCCGGCCAGCACGGCCATCAACAGCACGCCGTCGGTGGCCGGTCGCTGCACGGCCGATGTCGTCAGGCCGCCGGCGCAGGTGGGCCGCGCGGCGGCGTACTCGCACTGGATGTTGTCGGCGTCATCCACCTTGGCGCGGTTGTCAGCTAAATACCCGGCCAGTCGCTCGGCGAACGCGCACTCGCACGACCACGGGTTGCGCGCCAGCGTCAGCTCCACCAGGTACGGGCTGGTCAGCTGCCACACGGGGAAGCTGGTCAGCTGGTTGCCGTGCAGCGTCAGCACCTCCAGCGCGTGCAGCTTGGCGAACGTGGCCGGGTGGATGCGCGCGATGCGGTTGTTGTGCAGGTAGAGCTCGCGGAGAGACTGCAGGCTGTCAAACTCGTGTCCGTACAGCTCCGGGAGGACGGTTGTTCTCGAGCCGGAGCACCTGGAGCGCCGAGAGGCCGTTGAGGCTGCGGTTCTGGATCTCCTCCACGTTGGAGTTGTTGACGTACAACAGGCGGATCCGCTTGCGCCCGATGAAAGTGTGGCTCTCCAGGCTTCGGATGTTGTTGCCGGCGGCCAACAGGGCCGTGGCGTCCATCGGGATCTCCCGCGAGATGGCCAGCTGCTCTCGGCTACTGCAGTCGACGATGTTGGTGTTCCATGTGTGGTCGTGGTAGCAGGAGCAGCCGTCGGGGCACTTCATCTCGCAGTCGCAGGCCACGTAGTTGCAGCAGTGGCAGAGGGCGAAGCAGTGCCGCTCGTAGTTGCAGAGGAAGTCGGCCGGCTTGGTGAGCGGCAGCGGGATCGGATGGCCCGGTGACCGTAGTAGGCGGCACATCACCCGCTCCGCGTCCAGCACCTGCCGAGGCAGCGAGAAAACCGTCAGACAAACTACACTGGACGACGGAGAAAACTGCACTATTGGGTTATGCAACTCACATGGCAATTATACAAAACCAGCCAAACGACAATCATCACTCCCTTCTTGATTACGTACCAGCTGTACGTCGTCGCATTTCGCCCCTCAGAATATTCATGCTTGGCACAGTGTCTCCGGGAGATGATGTAGACGAGAGCGGCGAAAGCGGGTGGGGAATACCATCTCCCCGTTGGAATATTTACGAGTCCACAGCGTTCCATGGCATAAAATGGAGATAAAAATCCCGTCTGCACCATTCCTCAAATTTATACAAACCCACAGCGTTTCATGGCATAAAATCAAGATAAAATCGCCTTTCGCACCCTTGCGCCAAACTACTCGGAGGATGCTTCGCCCATGATTCCTTAACATCAGCGTACACAAGCATCCATGGAATCAAATCACCGACTCAGCAGCCTGCTAGAGATTAACTGCTTCACTGCTTCAGTCCGGTGCGCTTCATAGCTCCATACTTGCTCAACGACGAATCCACTTAAGCGGATAAGTAATGTTGCGATACACTTCACGACAAAAGTTCTGACAATCAACAACCACCGATTCGAATGATGTGCAATAATTTTGTCCTGTCCACGCATAGTTTTGCTGGACACAGGAAAGTGTATAGGGAGGTCAACGCAGGCGACGGTGTATGCATTGAGCCTCCCTGCTCCGATCAGCGCACCTGCATCTCCGACAGCCTTTATCTAGTCACCGACAGGCCTGTCGCCATGCTTCACGCGCCTCACTATTGGCCATGCCAGACCTCGAGCCGGCGCCAATGACCAGCACATTCGCTGCAAAGTTCGTTAGCGATACCTGTCCTCCCAATTTTGTCTGATCTGTTCTATCTTGCTGGCATCACTCATGGAAATCCGGCGCAGAGGCAGTTCTTGCGCAAATCCACGCCGCCGACAAAGCAGCACGTTATCTGCGCTGTCCGAGCGGTGACCACCTTGATTTGCAGCAAAAGAGAAAAGATCTGCGGCGAGCGGGTGACCACGGTGTCTGATCCAATCACATCCGTCTATGGCGGATCGTGGGAGAATGTGCAGGCACATGCGGCCCGTTTCGCGTCCGTGCGAAAACGCTTAAATTATAGTCGTGCAAGAGACGGCATTTGCCGCTGCTTTTAGGTTTGTTCGACGGGAGTCTTACATAGCTGGTGAAATGACTGGGCTCAGCGGATCGACGTCCGCTAAAAAGGGATCAAATTTCGTGACTTTCTGCTACAAGGCTGTGCTAAGTTCACCAAAACAGATGTTAAATTATTATTTCAAGAAACTGCAATGTTCTCTCTGGGCGCGCTCATTTCCCATTCCTGCCGACTCCTGTGTTTGCTGTCGTCCATCGAAATGCGAGCTCAAGTCATCAAAACTTCGGCACGGTCACACTGCCGTCAACAAAACCGATCCACTTCAAGCGAGCCTTTCCAATGACTAAAGCCAACTATAAATCGGTTTATCGCTCGGTCCATTCCGGCCAATGGTGCTTCAGTCACTTTGGCGATTAGTAAGAAGCCTCGCCATCACGGTGAGTGCAGTGAGGCCTCACCTGAGGGTATTTGTGTCGCGGCGTCATGGTGTCGATGGTGAGCAGCCAGTCCATGGCGCAGTCACAGAAGAAGGGGTTGCCGGCCAGTAGAAGCTCGGCCGGCGCCACGCTGTCCTCGCTGCCGGCCAGCGTCACCGCCTGCAGGTCCAGCTCGCTCAGCTGGTTGGAGGAGAAGTCGGCTCGGATCAGCCGGGACTTGGCTTCGAACGTCCCCAGCTCCACCGTCGTCAGCTGGTTGCTGGCAAGGATGAAGTACTTGATGCCGTCGGGCACGGACGCAGCGGCCAGGTGCGACACCTCGTTGTGACTCAGATCCAGCGTCTCCAGCTTGATCTTGGACTCGATGTTGTAAAAGTTGCCGATCTTGCGGATCCGGTTGTTGTGGAGGTCGAGCCAGCGCAGCTCGACCGGAATCAGGGCGTAGTCGAAGAACTCGATCTGATTGTCGCTGGCGTTCAGCCAGAGAAGCGCCGGCAGCTTCGCGAATAGGCCGTTGACGTTGCTCAGCCGGTTGGCGTCGATTCGGACGACGCGCAGGCCGGCGGCAGCGTCGAAGGCGCCGCTCTCGACGCCGCTGATGCGGTTGCGGGAAAGGTCGAGCACGGCCAGCGAGCTCAGGCCGGTCAGACAGCCGACCGAGACGTTGCTCAGCTGGTTGCCGGCGAGGCTGATAAAGCTGAGCTGGCGGAGCGGCGCCAGCGCGCCGACCGGCACGTCCCTGATGAAGTTGTCTGCCAGGTCCAGCCGACTCAGGAACGTCAGCCGCCTGAGCGCCGCCGGCACCGACAGCAGCTGGTTGCGCTGCAGCAGCAGGTGCTCCACACTGGTAACGTTGGAGAAGGTGAGGTCGGCGATGTCAGTCAGCCGGTTGTTGTCCAGTCGCAGTCGGCTCAGCACGTGCAGGCCGGCCAGCGAGTAGCGACCCAGCCGAGCAAGTGCATTGTCCGAAAGAGACAGCGTATGCAGGTTGCTCAGCGACGAAAACACGCCGTCTGGCACGGACGTCAGCACGTTCCGGCTGAGGTCCAGCACCTGGAGGCTTGAGAGGTCGTGGAACACGTCCACGCTGAGCGAGTCCAGCTGGTTTGCCGACAGATCCAGCACGATCAGACGGAACAGGCCGGCGAAGGTGTCCTTTCGGATCCACTCGGAGCTGAGGTTGTTACGGGACATGTTGACCGCCTGCAGCTGCGGCAGGTCGGACAGCAGGCTCGGCGGCAGGACGCGGATGCTGTTGTTCTGCACGCGGAGGTCGCGGAGCAGACGCGTCTCGTTCAGCATCATGGCCGGCAGCGCCACCAGCCGGTTGTCGGAGACGTCCAGCACCTCCAGCCGTTTGAGGTCCCGCAGCGCTCCGTCGTGGATCACGGCCAGGTGGTTGGCGCGCGCGTGCAACTCACGGAGGCTGCCGAATGAGCTGAGTCCGGCCGGTGACAGCTCCAGCAGACCGTTGCTAGACACGTCCAGCACCTGCAGACTGTCGCTGATGCCAGCGTCCTGCAGCTCGGCCAGCTCTTGGAAGCTGTTACCAGTGAGGTTGAGCGTCTTGAGCGACGCTAGGTCCGCGAACACGCCCGACTCCAGCGCCCACATGTTGTTCTCGCCGAGGTCCAGCGTCTCGAGGTACTCGAGGCCCTCGAAGCAGCCCCGCTCCAGCCTCATCTCCGCCGACGTCCACTCGCGGTTGAACGTCCTTAGGCTGAGCGTCCGCAGGCCGCGCAGGTGGCGGAACACCCCTCGCCGGAGGTGCCCCAGCGCGCAGCGCTCCACCGCCAGCTCACGCAGCTCGCCGAACGCGCGCCCCAGCGCAACGGCGAAGTCAACGCTGACATGCGACGAGTCGGCGCACTCGATCTCCAGTCGCCGCAGACGGCCGAGCTGTGTCACGTTCACGCGGCCGGCGTCCAGCGTGTCCAGCCGGCATCGCGCGGCGTCCGCGCCCCGCGGCTCGCATGGCTCGGCGGCTGCGCGCCTGAGCAGCGGCAGCAGCAGCAGCGCTGCGATCACAGCCCGAGCGGCGCGCATTGTGCCGACCGCCGCCGCCCGACCATCACCGAACGTCGCACACGCACCCCCACCCTTCGCTGACTGCAGACTGCCGGTCGGCCGGCCGTCCGCCTTCCCCGCACCGGCAGCCACCTGCGTCCCGGCGCTCAGCGCAGCGCGCCGCCCGCGTTGACCGGCATTCAGCGCAGCACCACGCTCAGGCTCCCCTAGCGTCCTGTTCAAAAGGCCTCCACCGCGCTTTACAGGTTCAAACTGATGCCGCCGCTGATCCCGACAGTTGTGATAGCCTGGCAGAGGTTCAGAGACGCGTCGGGTGCGGTTGCAGCGGATGGCATTCTCCCAGACGTGACGCGCCTGCCGTCTCGCCGTCACGTCGTAACGCGCTCCGTCCGGCGCGGCCGCCCGCACTGCAGTCGCAGCGGCCTGCTTTTGGCATCGCGTGGCCCAGTGCGGATCTCATTACGACCCAGCGTTACGACATGGCGCGCCGTTCCGGTCAGCGGCGGGCGCCCTCGGGGCGCGCCCATCTCCCCGAGGGATCTGGGGGATCACAGCAGCTTGAATGGGGTGACGTCTAACTGCTGAACACCGGGACGCCGCGGTGCGACCAGGCATGGCGTGTATGTACACTGCGTGCGCTCACGACTGGAAAGTTGGGCAGCTCAATGTACTCCAAGCCCTATCGCATGAAGGGCGCTGTCATCAAATCATGTACATATTGGCACACTACACAAGCCTTTGTTGGTTTATGCATGCGTTGGCGTTTTTACGCAGCGCGCATCATTAGCGATCCCGGCTCCAAAGAACTCGGTGAGGCGTGAGGCTGCTAGTTGTGGTGTTGGTGGGTGGATGTATGTAGAGACCACGTCGCCCAAGACGGGTAATCTACAAGTAAACAGTGCGACAAAGGTGTTGCTTGACAACACTTCATACCACACAATCATGTCAAAGGACATCCCTTAAATCGCAGTCGAATCACCATCGGAGGAAAGGGAAGGGAGAGACACGCCTAATTGCTGGGAGGTGTCCGGACTTATGCTAAATTAGCTGAAAGTAATTGGCATTGCCCACTTTATCTCCATACGTTACTTTTAGGTCATTTCACTTGGCTGTCGGAGGGCGATAGCCTCAAGACTCACGCTTCCTGGTTTCTTCCGAGACTCTCCATGAAATCACATTGTCGGTTAATGGCACGCGATGCGTAATGCGTACGCGATTGGTGAAATGTCGTCTGCATAACATGAAGCGCCCAGAGAGACAGTAATTCGCGTCGCCAACAGCTCAAAATGTGAAATCGTGGTGGATTGACAGCAATATAGGCAGAAAGGTCGAAGTTTACCAAGGTCCAAGCTGCAATCTAGACCACTGGCTGCTAGTCAAACTCCAGCACCGGTGTGCTTTGCCCATTGCCTTAGCACGCTCCCAAGTGGCTGATTGAATACCCTTCCTTCAGTTGGGGGTCAATTTGACCCCCGCCCTCTGAGATATCAAGAATGGAGGGAGCTTAAGACACCAAATCCACCGGGTGGGTTGGCCTAAACGTGAACTCATTAGTGTCAAAATTGGAGGTTCCTAGGCTATGACCTTTGCGTCAAACACGGCCAAATTCAAGATTGGTGTCCAAAGTGCACCCAGACCTTTTTAGCAACCACCTTGAACCTAGATACTGGTTCAAAGCAAAAGGTCACTGGTGTCCATTCGAGGTCGGTGACCTTTTTGACCTTAAGAAGTTCATGGTGACTGGTCACGAGCTTACAACACGATGAATGACGGGGGATTAAAATAGCATTGCAGTAGCTTTATCAATCTCGTTTACACATGGGCCAGTTCCAAATGTCCGGTTTCAAAACAGATCAATCGCTATTTTTCTCTCCGTCAAGACTGCCGAGATTTGCGCCCCTGATTGTCGAATTTCAAACGTTGAGTAATTTATCTTCATTAAAACGATTTTTCTGAGAATCGTTGCAGTTCACAAGAAAGTCACCGCATCGGAACATGCTGTTTAACACGCAACTCGCTCGTTCACAGCTCTACACCCAGTCCAAGTCCACTTCAACGTCACGACCTGACGCAAGGTAAGAAAAATCTCCGTCTCTGGTATTTTTATTTAGTTTTGCTTACCTACCACTATCCCTGTCCTGGACCTTTCATGATGACTTCGGCTTCCGCTAACATCTTTACATGCTCAAACCTTCGGTGCTCCAGACATCGCGCGGGTACAGACTCTCTCGCCCGCGTATACAACTCAGCCAAAAGGTAGAGAGGCGTCGCTGGGCCACTTTGAGCTTCCACCCGCGTAATCACACGTTCCGGCTCCCGTCACGTACAAGAACGACGTTCTGGTCCAAGAAGCAAAATCCCTGCTTTCCTTTAGGCAGGGCGCCTGAGCGAGCAATATAAATGAAGCTGTCTGCAGTCAGCGCTCCGTTTGCCTCACGCCGCATTTCCGCTCGAAGATAAATAAGGCTGCCATTTGCTGCTATTCGCTGCGACCTCCAACGACCAGCCCCCACCGACGATATTTGCTCGTTAACTTAATTGCTTCATTATCGACGCATCAGCCATTGTAGACCATTGGCGTCGGATCCACAACCAGGTACAAAATTTGTGAGCACATGTAACACCCAACGGAACAAACGTCGCGTGGAGTCCACTGCGAGAGTACGTGAGGGACTTTGCCGACGTTATAAAGCTTTACATCACTGCCAAACGTAAATATATACTGTATATTTTCTAGTATATTATGTATGATAGAGTAAACAGAAATTATGTGTTTGGCTGCTGTGACGCCCCGCGGAAAGTTTTCTCGTGGCACGCAAAAAGCTTCTGCATCCTTGCCATTTGAAGAGGCCAAGGACTTTTCATCTAGCGAGTAAGGTTCGTGAGAAGCATGGAATTATAGTGGTTAAACTCTCTGCGCCCCACCGTCATTTTCGATTGATTTGACGCTTGCCATTGTTTTTTAGGGCCCTCTTCGATGTGAACAATGTGGAAGCACTTGGCATTTAAGAATAAGACACGTTTCTTTGGATCCAACAAGATGATGATCCTGACAAGAATAGAATGAAGTGTGTCTTCCCTGCTCAATTTCTTTTAGCACACAAGATATCGATTTTTAAGGTAATTACGAGGTTACCTAGGGCAACCTTGTATTTTACATAGGCCGTTATGACATTATGATGAATCATGTTATGTCAGGACTAATAAGCGTGCTGCATTTTCAAAGTTACTATCGTGAACACGGAGTGAGGTAGAAAGCCAAAATTTCTGCATTGTCTGTCCACTTTATGACGTCACTTTGGCCAAACCTACGAAACCCTGGCCGCAATTTTTGTCGCAACTTATCTCAGCGATTTGTTGGCAGGTATATGTCAACTCACTGTCGCACCGCTACTCTGAGTTTTGGCAAAGACACTGAGAAGGGGAGATTCCTCTGTGTTAAAAGTGACAGCACACAGAATGACGCTCACAAATAACAGGAATGTAAAAAAAAATGGTGAGAAAGAACCTTGCGCTCACATTGCTATCGCTACATGAGTCGGCTGTACCTGAGTCTCGCAGGGCCCGTGGCGCTGCAGGTGGTAGCGCAACGCCCGGGGGTGCAGGGGCGGTGTTGGTGCAGCATCCGGGGCTGTTCTGCTTTCCTAGCCCACTCTGAGTCATCTGCTTCCGGCTTCACAACCAGCCGGGAGTCACCCCCGCTCCTCTACCCGCGTCTTCAGCCGGCGTCCTCCAGCAGTCGAACCTGTAAAGCCATGCCGAACCATACGCAGCGTTGGCGCGGTAACTTTGCTGAGCTACGCTAGCTTTTCAAAGCTGGACAGCCAGAGACCCTGCTTTCTGAAAGCTCATCCTATAACAAGAAGGGTAGGTTTTGCTCGAGCAGAGAAGCGTTCGTGGTGGCCTCCATTAGAACGATGGCGTCCCTGAACGCATCCACTTGACGGAAAGAGCCGGAGAGCCCCTTTCTTCACCAAAGAACAAGCCCTGGATTCCGGCGCGCCCTTCGTCGAGGCCAATACAGTGACGGGTGTGTGCTCGGTCGGCGTGCACGTGCTCATGACTTCGCACCTGCCGGCCGGCTGACTCGGCGTGTTCGCCCCAGCCTGACGCGTCCCACCTGCCCCACAGGCCGGCCCCGCACATCCTGCGCGCACGGGCTGGTACAGGCCGCATTAGCCACGGTCCACCGCTGTCCACGCCCCGCCCGCCTGCCACCCGACTGTCGGCGCTGGCGCCGGCGGCGGTCAGGTGGCGCCGCTGGCGTGTGCCCCGCTCGCCCCGGTACAGACCGGAGGCGTGGGGGTCGGCCGCTGTCGCCGCCTGCGTCCTGTCCGTTCGGCCGGTATAGCACCGGAGGCGTGGAGACCTGCCGCCGGCGCCGCCGTGGCCGCGAGGCGCCGAGAATGTGAAGTGGCGACGACAGAACTAAGCACGCCTGAGACACGGCGCTCGTAAGAAACCGGCCTGCGTGGTAGGTTTATCCACCAAGTAAATGGAAGGACCGCTGGCAGCTTTGACGGAGCGGATCTGTTGTCTGGTCGGTGTCGTGAAAGTATTCGCACTTGCTTAGAAAGCAAAATCATAGCGGAGGCTACCACCCTGTCCATGAGCGCTGATTAAATGCTCAATCTTGATAATCCATCTGTCAAAATTATAATCTAGGCTCACCGCAAGTAAAGATAACTGATGTCAACAGTCTGAAAATAGTCGTCAATATGGTGAGTTTTTCAAGGTCGGATCAGTCAGCTGAAGACTTGACAGCAGGGCATGGTTTGGCAAACTGCGTGCACCCATAACTCACCATGAATGGTGTTGAATAAGGACTGTGCGGATGCTACGCAGCTCCAAGGAAGCTTGACACCACGGGGTAACATCAGACGTGCGTTCATTCCTGAAGCCGTTGTCCTGTCTTCGGTTGACAGTGGGGCCTGCATGACGAGCGGCCATTGATGCACCCGAGCA